CTGCCCCACCCCTACACTTTGGTAACCACTAGTCCTTCTTGGACTCTGTGAGTGCTGCTGTTTTGTTCCGTCAGTTTTACTTCGTTATTATACTCCACAAATGTGGGAAATCATTTGGTACTTATCTTTCTCTGCCTAGCTTATCTCACTGAGCATAGAACACTCTAGCTCCATCCAGGCAAAGGGTAGGATTTGTTTTCTTCTTACGGCTGAATAATATTCCATTGTGTATATTTACCACATCTTCTTTACCCATTCATTACTGATGGACACTTAGGGTGCTTCTATATCTTGGCTATTGTAAATAGTGCAATGACAAACATAGGGGTGCATATGTCTTTTTAAATATGAGAAGTTATTTTCTTTGGGTAAATTCCTAGGAGTGGAATTCCTGGGTCAAATGGTATTTCTATTTTTAGTTTTTTGAGGAACCTCCATATTGCTTTCTACAATGGTTGAACTAATTTACGTTCCCAACAGCAGTGTACAAGGGTTTCCCCTTTCTCTGCATACTCACCAGCATTTGTTGTTCCTTGTCTTCTGGATGTTGGCTATCCTAACTGGTATGAGGTGATATCTCATTGTGGTTTTAATTTCCATTTATCTGATAATTAGCAATGTGGAGCATCTTTTCATGTACCTGTTGGCTATCTGAATTTCTTCTTTGGAGAACTGTGTTAATATCCTCCACCCATTTTTTAGTCAGGTTATTTGCTTTTTGGATGTTGAGACATGTGAGTTCTTTTTATATTTTGGAAGTTAACCCCTTGTCGGATATGTCATTTACAAATACATTCTCCCATACTGTAGGATGCCTTTTTGTTCTGTTGATGGTCTCCTTCACATTCAACAAAATTTATTAGTTACTTACTATATGCAATCAGTGCTTGGGGTCAGGGATATAGAGATACAGAACCTGTCCCTGAGGCATTTATGTTTCATTATAGACACAGAATATGCACGTAAGTGACTGTAGCATGAAGTGAACAACATTAAATACTGGATGAGAAATGCAGATAACTGCTTTGGGAAATCAAAAGAGATTGAGATTTCTAGTAGGGAGATCCAGGGATGATAGACAGGGTTTAGACATGAAGAGAAGGGTACCAGTAGTAGTCTGGAGTAGGTTCAGTGTGAGTGTGGGAGAGGCCAGAATGGGTCAAGGCATGGATGAGGAATAGCGAGGCTAAGCACTCAGTATCAGAAGAGGAATTCAGGAGTATAAAGCTGGGAGGGAAAGTTAGGAGTTGTGGAGTCTTTCTTGCCAGAAAAAGACATTTAGATTTTAAGAAGAAGGCAGTAGGGAGTCATTGAAGCCTTGAAAAGAAACTTTAATTTTTAAATAATTTTAGACTTACAGAAGAATTTCAAAGAATTCCTAGAAAGTAGTCAGTATCATCTAACTTTTCATTTTCATGTTTTTAAATTATGATTGTTTATATGGTATTCTTATATTACACTCATAATTGCATCTACTTTCTCATGCTTAGTGTAGTATATATCTTGGTTTTTTTCTTACTCAGAAATGCCAGATTTGTCTTATTTATCTTTTCAAATAAATAATCTTTGGTTTCATGGACCAGGTTTGTCAGTTTTTGCCCTATTTCATCAGCTCCCCCAAAGCTACTCTATGTCTACATTTAATGTAGTTAAAACAAAAGCAAACAAACAAACCCCAGTGAGAACAATGTACAAATGCAGTGTCAAAATAAGTCCCTTGATCCATCTTTTAAGCAGAATGCTGTCCCTGAGTCTCACACAGCCATGGAGCTGCGTGATGTCAGGATGATGCTTGGAATAAGGTGGGCCATTTCAATATGAAAATCTGTGCTTTTCTTTAAGTCAAAGAAGATTGCTTCTGTTTTTTATTTCCTCCCCTGGTTTTCCTTTGTCTCTTTCTAAAACTCTTATTAATCTTTACCTCCAGGATTTATCCCCCTGTACTATCTTTTTCCATCTCTTTGTTATTTTGCTCTAAGTTCTAGAAGATTTACCTTATTTTTTACTTTGTTGTCTCTTTCACTAATTTGACTGTGATCTATGTCTACTTATCTGTTTACTCCTCATTTATTTTTATTGTTCTAATTTGGCAATCATATTTTAAATTTCTTGTTCCTTGCTTGCTCCTTTTTTCTTAACTGTTTTAAGAAAAAATATCCTACAATTTTCTAAGGATACTCATTGTAATCCTCTAATGATCTCTGCTGCTTGAATTATTTCCATTTTTTGTTTGTTTAATTGAAATATAATTGATAGATATTATAATGGTTTCAGGTATGCAACATAGTGATTCAACAATTATATACATTACTAAATGCCCTCCATGATAATTGTAGCTCACATGTGTCAACATACAAAGGCATTACAATATTTTGACTCTATTTTCAATGCTGTACTTTCATCCCTGTGACTAATTTATTAATTGGAAGTTTGTACCTATTTATCTCCTTCACCTGTTTCATCCATCCCCCACTGCCCTCCCTAATGACAACCACAAGTCTATTCTCTGTGTTTATGAATCTATTTCTGTTTTGTTTGTTCATTTGTTGTGTTTTTTAGGTTTTCCATGTAAGTAAAATTATGAGGTATTTGTCTTTTTCTGACTTATTTCACTGAGCAAAATGCCCTCTAGATCCATTCATGTTGTCACAAATGGCAAGATTTCATTCTTTTTTATGGCTGAGTAATATTCCATTGTAGATATGTCCTACATCATTTTTAATCCATTCATCTATTGATGGACACTTAGGTTATTTCTGTATCTTGACTCTTGTAAATAATGCTGCAACAAACATAGAAATGCATGTATCTTTCAGGATTAGTGGTTTTGTTTTCTTTGGGTAAATTCCAAGAAGTAGAATTACTGGAACATATGGTATTTCTATTTTAGTTTTTTGAGAAACTGCCACACTGCTTTCCACATAGCTACACCAATTTACATTCCCACCAACAGTGTACAAGATTTTCCTTTTCTCCATATCCCCACCTCTTGTTATTTCTTGTCTTATCTGGTTTTTATTTATTTGTTTATTTGCTTGACTTGGCCTTTTCTCTTTTGCTTTGATTTTCCTCAAATGTTTGGTGATCACTAAGTCCATTGACATTCATGTATAAAGAAATAGATTCATTTAGGCAGCTGGCGAGACCCTGCTCTGTGAGTAGCTCTCTTTCCCTAAGGAGGTCTCCCCTGAATGGGAAGTCTGATGCGAACTCTGTATGAGTGAACAGACTTCACCTTAGGCTGCTCAATGATGGCCCTGCAGGTTCATGTGGATTAGGGAATCCTTTCCTCAGTTGCTGCCTTTCTTCCCCCTTCTCTCCCCCTCATCCACTCCTAAGTGGTTAGGGTTATATCAAGCTCTGTTTGGAGGCTTCTAGACCCACTTTCAAATCATCCTCATCAGGTAACTCATTTTCATTAATCAGAGGTCAAAATCCACTGCTGACCATTGCTCAAGGTAGGAGAAAGCAAGACCTCATTGGCTGTCTGAATCAGAAGTTTTGAAAGCACTTCTTTAAATAGCCTTAAAATTACCCCCTACAACTGCCAGAGTAATCTTTCTGAAACACATTTGAATATCTCTCTCCAGTTCAGAAGACTTTAGGGGTTCTGATTTTATATAGAATAAAATCTGATCTCCTTTGTAAAGCATGCATATCCCTTCTGGCTTGATGTGAGTTCCTAATCATCAGATCCCACTGTTTCCCTGCCATAGGCACACCTAGGCTCCCTAATTTCTGAAAATGCTTGTGATTTTTTCTTGCTCCATGCCTTTGCATACACCGTTCCCTCAACTGAAAATGTCATCTCCCCTTTACCAACTGGCAAAGATATACTCAGCTACACATCTTAGCTCATGACTGCATTCCCTGTGAATCCTTCATAACTTCCCCTAGGCAGAGATAGGTTCATGACTTGCTTTATGAAAACTATAGCCTCTAGGTGTCAAAGCTAAGAGAGAAACTTGAATGCCTGTGTGTTTCACATTTTACATAAACTATAAATGAGGCATTTTTGCCAGTTATTAAAAATTCAGAGAGAGTTTACTATACTAGGGAGGTACTTATATTGGTGACTGGTAAACTGAGAAGGTCCTCCCTTTATGCTTTCATTGACCCTCAATTATAACTCTATGTAATTACTAAATTTTTTTGTTTGTACATTGATTTCCTCAAGGTCTGAACCATATCTCATTACTTGGCTCAATGCTTGATATTTCCTGGTCACTCAATGAGTATTTGTTACACACACTGGATAACCAGATGTTGATGGTTAATTCAGGGAAACATTTTTGTGTGAATAGCTGTACAACTAGAAATATATCATCATTTACACCCATCATAATATAATAAAGATTTAACCAGTTAGAACAGTCTTTATAATAACTATCAAAACAACACTTGAAATATCTAGTTTGTACCACATAAACACATTGCATGAATATCTAAGATGACTCCTGACCAACCTTGTGTTTATTATTACTCATCTTAAAGCCAGGGAAATCAAGAAGTTAAATAAGTTTCCCAAGGATATACAGTTATACAGAGGCACAGCTTGTGCTTATCACAGGTGCCTGAATCCAGACCTGAGTCTCAACCTTTACTGTTGGCTCATGCTTTGGTGTGGAGAAGATTGATTAGTATTTGATTACAAAATTCATGAAATTGGAGACTTTCTACTGAGGGAAGGACTTCCCTAAAGTCCTCCTATTCTTTAAGGTTTATTCCAAAATATTTTGCAGGAAAAAGGCAGTAGCTATCAGGCTGATAAAATGCCATAAAATTCATTTTCCATAAAGAAATATCAGAGGATACTCTAATATAACACACTTCCATTTTAAAAATTGGAGCATCTGACCAATTTTCCTGCTTATATAATGGAATATGGCACAACTTTTTTCACTATAACCAAGAAAACTTATAATGTTACCATTTAATAAAAAGGCTTACTCATATTAACCCAATTAGCTTTCAATGACCAGCTTATAGTTGCTTCTTACCTGAAAGTTGCCAAAACAGCTTCCTCCTGGGAGGGTCACATAACTCACAAAGGGAGGTCCAGGAGATGGCAATGACTCATAGACTACCACACCTTCACTTGAGAATATAGCCCTCTGTTGCTGCTTGCTTTCCCAAAATTCCTGTAACATTGACACAACATTCACTGAAAAAGACAAGAAATATAATCAGTTATTAAGGATCCATATACCCTGGCAAAAACAGAATTTTAGTTGCAGGCTGGATTGTGTAATATGTCATTTCTAGTTTTAGCAGAACAGGTATGTATATGGAAACAGGAAATGATATTTAACACAAATGTGTTTTTTTTTATGAGTATGGCTCGAGTGGTTTGGTACCCTAATTCTAATAACATTGCAGCATGTTAAATATACTTTATAATTTTTAATATTAAATTAAAAAATCTCATTCTCCATCTTTGAAAATTTGCCTTAGTAAACTTTGTCCAGAGCTATGGTTATCCATGGCCTCTGCTCCAATTTCTTATAGCTCCTTAAACATGCAAAGTGAAAGCCTAATTTGGAGGTAAAGATGTAAACAATGTAATTTTAATTGGGACTCACCTATTATAAGATTTAAGAGGAGAAAGGTGAAAGAAGAAAACTCTTTTATGCTCCTCTCCACTACAATCTAAAGGAAAATGAAAGGCAACTATAATAAGTGGAGGCTGGGAAAAGCCCGAAGTGAAACTAAGAACATGGAGACCTTGTTAAGGCCCACGTCTGTTAGACGACTTCAGAAAATATAGTAATGGCTATAGCCATGTGTTTTGGATTAAATGACCTGTGATAGCCTGCAGAAGTTCCAGATCAAATTAGGTTGGTTTGTTTATCCTGTACTGCAAATTGAATTGTGGAAATTAACAAGGATAATAGAATTGTAGAGTCAAAGGAGATCTTACAGGTCATGCAGGCAAAGCTCTGCCTAATGAAGGAATTCCTTGAACAACACTACTGACAGCTTCCCATCTGGCTTGTGCCAGAAAACAGGAAGGACCTGGTACTTGGCACATCTTGAGGCAGCCTGTTTAAACTGTTAATGATTCTAACTGTGAAAAGGTCCTTTTTGGGAGTGAGCTGGAATGTGCTTTCCTGTAAGGTTCATGCAAATAGTCTGCTTCTCATTTCTGGGGCCTCACAGAAGTTTATCCCCTTATACACATGGGAGCCCACCACATATTTGAAGGAAATGTTGGACATCAGTTGTTTTTGCCTCCCTGGCATGTTATTCCCCCTTTTGTGGGAATAGCACAAAGGTTTTCCTTAAAGAACAATCTTCCCTTCAGTCATGTCTTCTCGAGGGCCAAATGGTGGGGATTTGATCAAAGTCAAGTCATTTAGAGTCAATGAGTCCAGGACTTTTGTTGGAAATGTTAGAAGTTTAGATTCTCCTTTTTCACGAGGGTTGCTGGGGGTATAGGAGGTAAGTGTGGTGCTACTATTCAAGCAAGGAGGAAACAGGCTGAGAAGAAGGCCGACATAGAGAAGGGCAGACCAAAGAGATGGAGAAAGACTAAGTTCTGATGACATAGTTTGAGCCCCTAAACCAACTCATTTGCCTTTACTTTTAACCATTTTGAACTGCGGTCTCTCACTTGCTTATGAAAATATACTAATACAATCAACTCTCAGAATTCCTCAACTTCTAGATTAAATAATTTTTGTTCTTTCAAACATTCTTTTTGTAACCTGGTTTCCCTACCCTTTGGCAGTCTCTTTAACACATTCCTGGATATACTTCAAAATGCTGGGCTTTGATATTTTTCAGGCAATCAGGAGACAAAAACATTGCACAACTACCTTTTAAGCCATTCACTAGAGCACCTAGCTTCTTGACCTCTGGATGCATCTAGAGGGTATTATGCTCAGTGAAGTAAGTTAGGAGGAGAAAGACAAATACTGTATGATTTCACTTATTTATGGAATATAAGAACAAAGTAAAACAGAATGAACAGAACAACAGAAGGTCACTGATCAACTTCACAGTATGCAGTTCAGGCAAATTCTCAAGACACCTAAGAACTGAAAGCATGTGTACATTTAAAAACTGCCGTGTTTTAAAGAAGTGTTTTGGGAGAGAAACTGGGAAAATGTAAAACTTTCAGAAGAGAAAATAAAATTAATCAAATAAAATACATGTTGAATTGGTCAAAGTGAGATTGGTTATTACAGACTTTTTTCATTCATTCAAAAATATTTGAAATATCTTCTACCAGTTGATGTAACTCAAAGTAGAATTAAAACTTTTTTTTCTAAACTGTGTTTCTGCTCCCTTTCTTCCCCTGTCTTCCATCTCTAAGAAAAACTAGGATTTTTGAGCTGCTGACTTGTGTTTCTACTTGGTTTTGATTTCCAATGCCACTGAGATGTCTTGAAGATTAAAGCCTAAAACCAAAGCCAGTGGCCTGTTCTGACAGTCAGCAAGACACATTAGCTTGCTATTTTAAGTTGGTTCATTGTTGAATGATGTTCACCTAATAACTGGAGTAGAAAGATGAAGACTCACGATTAGCTAGGTAAAATGAACACAAGAATTTTGGCATGTAAAGCTATGAGATTAAAGAGTTCAAAGGTATGTACTAAGAAAAATTTATGTGTGAATAAAAGTAGCTTTCAAATTTTTCATTCTGCAACCTTGCAGGACTTCTTTGATGGTCCTATGTATGTCATCACCTCTAAAGAGTGAAACATCTGTACATGCACACACGCAATCCATCTTTCTATCTCTATCTCCTCTTGTCGACTAGAAAACCAGATGAATGGAGTGCAGAGGGAAGAAGGCCAGCTTGCTATTTGTAGTTCCAAAGATCGGAGCTTTAGAGGATGCTCTATTTATGAAACACATGCTCCTTTATTTCTTTTTGAGTATAACAACAAGGTTCATGGACAATGTCAAAGAAAATGCAAGCAGAGGGTCAAGTACTGCTGAAGAAAACCACCTATGTTTGAGGATGGGCCTCACTACACATTTTAGTCTCTATCTGCAGTTGCACCTTCAGTGCCCAGCTAATGAACCTGCCTTCCACATTACCAAACAAACTTGGCATGTGATATCCTCCCTTACATCTAGTGACCCATGTGCACAAGTGGCCAGCTCCACCTTATTTTCTCCAGCTTCAAATTAATTTGTCATTTCTGGGCATTGTTCTATTAGTCATTCTCTTGGCCTCCTATTTTTAAATGTTTCCTCTTTACTCCTTCTCAGCAGCCATAAGTATACTCAAGACCATGAATAAATGAATAAATTAATAAGTCAATCAGTTAAATGAAATATTCAACCTTGGGACTATTTTTGGCTACTGGATATTAAAATTTTTCCCATTTTAGCCAAGCTGCTAGAAAGAATATGTTACATTACTATTTCTTTTTCCTTATCTTCCATTCATTTTTAACCCACCATAACCTGGCTTTCCTCTACATTATTTCACTGAAACTACTTTGGCAAATATCACCAATTCCTAATTTTCAGTTGTTATTTATTTGACCCCTAACTGTGTTTGACACAGCTGATCAATTTCTCCTAGAGACTCTCATATCTCTAGGCTTTTTTGATAGTATTTTTCCTGACTCTGCTTTTCTATTTCCATAAATTTTTCTCAGTCTCTTGTCTAAGTTTCTTCTTCCACTCACTGTGCATGTTGATTTGCATGAGAATCTTGTTCTTGTCTTTTCTGTTCTCCTTGAATGATGGAACCTATCTCCATGACTCCATCTACCATAAAATACACTGAGAGTAAACTGGTGCAGCCACTGTGAAAAGCAGTAGGAAGGTTCCACAAAAAACTAAAAATAGAAATACCATTTGACCTAGTAATTCCACTCCTAGGAATTTACCTGAAGAAAACAAAATCCCTGAACTGAAAAGATATATGCACCCCTATGTTTATCACTGCATTATTTACAATAGCCAAGATATGGAAGAAACCTAAGTGTCCATCAAGAGATGAATGGATAAAGAAGATGTGGTACATATATACAATGGAATATTATTCAGCCACGAAAAGAAAAAAAATCCTGCTATTTGCAACAACATGGATGCATCTAGAGGGTATTATGCTCAGTGAAGTAAGTCAGGAGGAGAAAGACAAATACTGTATGATTTCACTTATTTATGGAATATAAGAACAAATTAAAACAGAATGAACAGAACAACAGTGGACTCATAGACACTGAGAAGTGACTAGTGGTTACCATGGGGGAGGGGCTGGGGAGAGTGGGAAGGAAGCGGGAGGGGGATAAAGGAGCACAAAAATTCTCAAGTTGGTCATGGGTACAGTAGTACAGCATGGAGAATATAGTCAATGATTCTGTAATATCTATGTTGATAGATAGTAACTTTACCAGTGGGGGTGAGGATTTAATAATATGTGTAACTGTTGAACCACTGTGTTGTATACATGAAATTAATATAAGACTATATCAATAATAAAAAAGTAAAAGATGCTCAGGGTACAGTCAGACAGCTACTAAGTCTTAGACCTGGGATTTTTAACCTAGTTCTGTCTCTGCTTTTGTTCACCTTGAGACACTCCCTTATTTTAATGGAATTTAAGTTGTTTTCATGTTTGTCTACCTCTAGTAGAACTAGTGCTTTTTAGAGGAAGAATTAATTTTTTCCAACATCTGAACATAGTAGGAGTATAATAAATATTTGTTGCATGTTTGAATGTCATGAAAAATGTGCTACATTTGTGAGGCTGTTAGTAGGGGAGACATAGGAGACTCTCTGCAAGAATTACTTCACCTACATTTTCCCAGGGGATACTTGTTCTTGACAAAGTCAAAGCAAAGATCAATATTTGTGTTTTTTCATGCAAGTGATATGACATGTTTCCAGCTTGGAACTGCAATCTATTTCCATGTGAACAGGTATCTAGATGATCAATCTTCAGCCAATACATTGTCTGGTTTAGGCAATGGTGTAAACACTCTTTGATTGTGTGCCTCAGAGGGGATGGTGACTGGTCTTCCCATTCCAGCACTTTATTTCAAAGAAAGATGGCCAAAGGAGAGACCACAAGAGGAACAAGAGGAAATGACAAAAGACTGAGGAGGGGTGTGAAACAGACTTCCTGGGAAGAGGGGCATAAGCAGAAGTCAAGGTCAAGTCTTTCTGCCTGATTGTGCTCTACTCAGATGAGGAACA